ACTCAAGCAGTGAGGCAATATGGGCAGAGCTCAGAAATAGGAAGGGTGCGGTAACAATGTTGGGGCTGTACTACCAGCTTCCCAACAGCGAGCGTGAGATAGAAGTACAAATATGTAAACAGATTATGGAAAGATGTAGGAGCAACAGGGTGGTGGTGATGGGAAATTTTAATTTTCCCAACATTGACTAGGATTCACTTAGTGTTAGGGGTTTAGATGGAGCAGAATTTGTAAGGAACATCCAGGAGGGTTTTCTAGAGCAGTATGTAAATAGTCCACCTTGGGAAGGGGCCATACTGGACCTGGTGTTGTGGAATGAGCCCGGCCAGGCGGTTGAAGTTTCAGCAGGGGATTACTTTGGGAATAGTGATCACAATTCCGTAAGTTTTAGAATACTGATGGACAAAGACGAGAGTGGTCCTAAAGGAAGAGTGCTGAATTGGGGGAAGGCCAACTATAACAAAATTCGGCAGCAGCTGGGGAATGTGGATTGGGAGCAGCTGTTTGAGGGTAAATCCACATTTGAAATGTGGGAGGCTTTTAAAGAGAGGTTGATTAGAGTGCAGGACAGACATGTCCCTGTGAAAATGAGGGATAGAAAGGGCAAGATTAGGGAACCATGGATGACAGGTGAAATTGTGAGACTAGCAAAGAAGAAAAAAGAAGCATACATAAGGTCTAGGCGACTGAAAACAGACGAAGTTTTGGAAGAATATCGGGAAAGTAGGATCAATCTGAAACGAGGAATTAAGAGGGCTAAAAGGGGTCATGAAATATCTTTAGCAAACAGGGTTAAGGAAAATCCCAAAGCCTTTTATTCATACATAAGGAGCAAGAGGGTAACTAGAGAAAGGGTTGGTCCACTCAAGGACAAAGGAGGGAAGTTATGCGAGGAGTCAGAGAAAATGAGTGAGATTCTTAATGAGTACTTTGCATTGGTATTCACTGAGGAGAGGGACATGACAGATGTTGAGGTTAGGGATAGATGTTTGATTACTGTAGGTCAAGTCAGCATAAGGAGGGGGGAAGTGTTGGGTATTCTAAAAGGCATTAGGGTGGACAAGTCCCCAGGTCTGGATGGGATCTATCCCAGGTTACTGAGAGAAGCGAGAGAGGAAATAGCTGGGGCCTTAACAGATATCTTTGCAGCATCCTTGAGCACGGTGAGGTCCCAGAGGATTGGAGAATTGCTAATGTTGTCCCCTTGTTTAAGAAGGGTAGCAAGGATAATCCAGGTAATTATAGACCGGTGAGCCTGACATCAGTGGTGGGGAAGTTGCTGGAGAAGATACTGAGGGATAGGATCTATTTACATTTGGAAGAAAATGGGCTTATTAGTGATAGGCAGGATGGTTTTCTGCAGGGAAGGTCATGTCTTACCAACTTCATAGAATTCTTTGAGGAAGTGACAAAGTTGATAGATGAGGGAAGGGCTGTAGATGTCATATACATGGACTTCAGTAAGGCATTTGATAAGGTTCCCCATGGTAGGCTGATGGAGAAAGTGAAGTTGCATGGGGTCCAGGGTGTACGAGCTAGATGGATAGAGAACTGGCTGGGCAACAGGAGACAGAGGGTTGTAGTGGAAGGGAGTTTCTCAAAATGGAGAACTGTGACCAGTGGTGTTCCACAGGGATCCGTGTTGGGACCACTGTTGTTTGTGATATACATAAATGATCTGGAGGAAGGTATAAATGGTCTGATTAGCAAGTTTGCAGATGACACTAAGATTGGTGGAGTAGCAGATAGTGAAGGGGACTGTCGGAGAATGCAGCAGAATATAGATAGATTGGAGAGTTGGGCGGAGAAATGGCAGATGGAGTTCAATCCAGGCAAATGCGAGGTGATGCATTTTGGAAGATCCAATTCAAGAGCGAACTATACGTTAAATGGGAAAGCCCTGGGGAAAATTGATGCACAGAGAGATCTGGGTGTTCAGGTCCATTGTACCCTGAAGGTGGCCATGCAAGTCGATAGAGTAGTCAAGAAGGCATACAGCATGGTTTCATTCATCGGACGGGGTATTGAGTACAAGAGTTGGCAGGTCATGTTACAGTTGTATAGGACTTTGGTTCGACCACATTTGGAATAACTGCATACAGTTCTGGTCGCCACATTACCAAAAGGATGTGGATGCTTTGGAGAGGGTGCAGAGGAGGTTCACCAGGATGTTGCCTGGTATGGAGGGCGCTAGCTATGAAGAGAGGTTGAGTAGATTAGGATTATTTACATTAGAAAGACGGAGGCTGAGGGGGGACCTGATTGAGGTCTACAAAATCATGAGAGGTATAGACAGGGTGGATAGCAAGAAGCTTTTTCCCAGAGTGGGGGACTCAATTACTAGGGGTCACAATTTCAAGGTGAGAGGGGAAAAGTTTAAGGGAGATATGCGTGGAAAGTTCTTTACGTAGAGGGTGGTGGGTGCCTGGAACGCGTTGCCAGCGGAGGTGATAGAGGCGGGCACGATAGCGTCATTTAAGATGTATCTAGACAGATACATGAATGGGCAGGGAGCAGAGGGATACAGATCCTTGGAAAATAGGCGACAGGTTTAGATAGAGGATGTGGATCAGCGCAGGCTTGGAGGGCCGAAGGGCCTGTTCCTGTGCTGTAATTTTCTTTGTTCTTTGTTCTTATATTTATGCCCTCTAGTCTGCTGCTGGGAAAGGATTTTCACTATCTATCCTGTTTATGCTTCATAACTTTGGATACCTCAATCCCCTCAGCCTTCTCTGCTCCAAGGAAAACAAACCCAGCCTATCCAGTCCCTCCTCATAACTGAGACTTTTTATCCCTGGCAACATCCTGGTGAATCTTCTCTGCACCGTCTCCAGTGCAATCACATTCTTCCAATAATGTGGTGACAAGAACTGCACATGCTATTCCATCTGTGGCCCAACCAATGTTTTATGAAGTTATAAGAGGACTTCCTTGCTCCTATCTTCTATGACCTGATTAATGATGGCTAACATCCTGTGTGGCTTCTTTACCATCCCATCTACCTGTGCTGACACCTTCAGGAATTTATGGGCATGTATACAAAGGTTCCTTAGTTCCTCCGTACTCCCTAGGGACCTAACATTCATTGCGTATATCCTTCCCTTATTTGAACTGCAAAAAATCGATCACCTCCCACATATGAGGATTAAATTCTACCTGCCATTACTCTGTCCAATTTACTGGCTGATTAATATCAGAATGTAGCCCAAGACCATCCTTCTCACTATTAATGACACCACCAGTTTTTTTGTGTCATCTGTAAACTTACTAATTCTACATTCTTCTTCTATATTCACATCCGAGTTGTTAATTACATAACAAACAGCAAGCACCAATCCTGTGGTACACTGCTGGTCAGATGTTTCCAATCACAAAAACAACCCTCCCACATCACCGTTTGCCTCCTATTTGAAAGCCAATTTTGGATCAATTTTGCCAACGTGCCTTGAATTCCATTGGCGCTTACCTTTTGGACCAGCCTTCCACATTGGACTCTGTCAAAGGCCTTACTGAAATCCATATAAACCACATCAACTGCACTACCCTCAACAATATATTTTTGAGCTTTTCTCTCACTGTTTTAGACATCATCTCAATCTAATGAAGAGATGGAACGTACTGAACTTTCATAACAATCATACAAATAGTCAATAACAGGAATTATTCAATGCAATAACTTGATGCACTTGAGCCTTGTGTGAATATGTTGTGATTATTAGCATGAAGGGTCAATTCCTTTGCCTGTTCTCTTTGATAGCCAACCAAACAGATCCATGAACACATGCAGATTGCCCTGAAACTTGTTTGCACATTGATAAGTGATTTCTACTTGCAAGAAATTAAGGGCTTAGGTACACAATTCTTTGAAATTTGCTTCACAGGTAGACGGAGTGTTTGAGGAGACATTTAGCACACTTGCCTTCAATGCTCAGACCTTTGAGTGTAAGAGTTGGGACTGAACATGACATCGGTGAGGTTTCTTCTGGAGTACTGTGAGCAGTTCTGGTTGCCTTGTTATAGGAAGGATATTATTAAACTGAAGAGGGTCTAGAAAAGATTTACCAAGATGTTGCCAGGAATGGAGGGTTTGAGTTATGAGGAGATGCTGGATAGGGTGGGACTTTTTCCACTGGAGTGTAGGCTGTTGAGGCGTGACCTTATCGAGGTTTAGAGGGGCATAGATCAGGTGAATGACAAAGGTCTTTTCCCTAGCGTGGGGGAGTTCAAAACTAGGGGCATATTTTTAAGGTGAGAGGTGAAAGATTTAAAAAGGACATGAGGGGCAACTTTTTTTTTTAAACAGAGTGGTTCATGTGTAGAATGAACTGCCAGAGAAAGTGACGGGTGCAGGTACAGTTACAACGTTTAAAAGACATTTGGATAAGTTCATGAATAGGAAAAGTTGGAGGGATGTGGGCCAAGCGCAGGCAGGTGGGACTAGATAAGTTTGGGAACATGGTCGGCATGGACTGGTTGGACTGAAGGGTCTGTTTCCATGCTGTATCACTCTATGACTCTATAATTAAAATATTGCAGAACTTGCAGGGAAAGCTAACCAGGAAATGAAGGAGGGTGGGGCAAACACCTTAATTTCTATCCACTTAATAGATGGAAAACAGGTGGTTATGAGTCTCCCATATCCTGAATATGGCCTGTTCCATCAAGATGAAAGAGCTGGCACTAAGGTACTATTTTTTACTAGCCTTTGTTCACTTTTAATTGTCTTGATCATACAGCAGCAAAGCCACACCTCTCACTGCGGTGACCATAATCTCCATGGTGATGTACTCCCCTTTCTTGACAGCCAGTGTTGAAATCTCACACTGAGTCAAGAGTATCTCCAGGCAACTGTGACATCAGTAAGCAAAGTGAGCAGCCAATCACGCTGATGTAATTCCACAGACAGCAAACCAGACAGTTAGAAACATGTGATCCTTCACCTGCAATTTACATTTATTACACTGTGTGGATCTGAGTGGATTCAGGTTGACACAGACAAATTTTAAGAAGAAAATGTGAAAAATGCGAATTCCTTTTTATTCGTAATGGAGAAATTTGACATTCCACAAATATCAACTTCGCTTCGTACGGCCATTGAGGAGTTTGGCAATGATTCTGAAGTTAGTACGCAGTAAAAATTCCCAGTTATGCCTCATCCAACAAGGTGTATCAAGGGTTTTCACAGTAAGACTAACAGCATTAGAAGTTCTCACCAATTCATTGATTACTATCTGGGGGACAGAGTTAATCCTCAACAGCGGACTCTCAAGTTAAGGGTGGAATCACTGACATTAACTTCTGGAATTCCATGGTATTCCGTGCATGTGTGGACTCCAGCCAGTATTGTGTTACACAGCAGATAAATGAGGGCAAACACAGGCAGTTTCGCCGTTATTACATCTGCAAAACCTGTGCCGTGGCTCTTCGGAGTTACCGCGTGAAATAGAAACGTGAAGACTTCAGGAGATTTTGCAACACAGTGGCAGCAAAGAAGGCTGTTACTTAACAACTGGAATGACAATGACCGGAAAAAAAAAAGCACAAATGTTCTTTCAAAGCCAGCAGCTGGTTATATGGGCATTTAACAGGAATAATGTCACTATCACAAGCCAAAAATAGAACAATTCAACTCTTATAGATGAAATATATCATTGAAAAATATCATTCCACTTCAGACTGTTTGATATTCTGAACAAGGATCTGGGTTCCTCAAGCATTGAATTGACTGCAGCACAACAGCAGATTGGTTAAATGTGTATAAAACATAATTAGCTACATCCTTAATTTTTGACACCATATTAGCTTTCAGATAGTGGCATCTGCAGCAATTCCCAGGACAACTGGAGCAAACAGTTTGGCCAAACAACTAGACGGACAAAGAATTTAGCTCAACTGCAGCTGTGATCTCAGTTAATCCCAGCCTTAGGTCAGTTGGGTTATGCTTAAACAATGACAACCGTGAAGTAAGGCAGCAAAATGGCAAAGCACTTGTGGAAAGGCTCTTGACTTGCTTCGGATTTTCTTTCTTGTCATTCGAGTACTTCCTCTTCCACTGAAAGGAGAAAGAGAGAAAAAGAGATGGATGATTCAATCAGAACAAATCCAAGTAGGGGTGGCTCGAAATGTGCACGCTGGAAGTAACCAAGGCACAAATATCATGGAACAGAATCTGGGGAGCTGTGGGACCGTGGACAGATAACATGAGATTTTATGTTCATCAATTTCTCTATAGATGCATGCCCTGCAAATGCTGCTCTGTTCTATTTACAAACAAAATATCACTATTTAGTTAATAAGAACTATTTCACTATTTAGTTAATAATCACTTCTGAGGAAGCGTCACCGGACCCGAAACGTCAACTCTGTTTTTTCCTTCACAGATGTTGCCAGACCTGCTGGACTTTTCCAGCAACTTTGTTTTTTTTTGTCACTATTTACTTAATAATTTTTAAAGGTGGGGTGAGTGATTGTTGCATAATTGCAATGTCACTAATCTAGTAACCCAGAACACAAGGCTAATATTCTGGGGCATTGGTTCAAATCCAACCATAGAAGATAACAGAATTTGAAAGCGATAGAATTTAAAAAGTTACCAAGTCGGCAATGTTGATTATCATCATCTGGTTCACTGGTGTACTTTAGGGAAGGGAATCTGATATCCGTACCTGGTCTGGCCTACATGTGACCCTAGACTCACAGCAATGCTATGGACTCTTAACTGCCCTTTGCGCAACTGGGTATAAGTGCCAGTCCCATCAGTGATGCCTCACACCCCATGAATGAATACATAAGTCAGGACCATCATTCAATAAAATTATGGTTGATAAATGTCTTAAATTCACTTTACCTATTTTGGTCTACCTAATTAAGAAAAAACATCTATTGACAGGCTAGAAATCTAAAACAGAAACATAAATATGCTGAAAATGCTCAGATAGCATATGTGGAGGGAGAAAGAGAGTTGACATTTCATCAAATCTATTATCAGAAACATTGCTATTGAGAGCTCAAGCTAGTCAAATATCCACAGCCATGTACAGGGAGAGAGTTCCAGATTTTTAATATTCTTTCTGTGGAGACAAAAACTCCCTGGTATTGGTTGTGAATGGCCTAGCTTTAATTTAAAGGTTCTGGTTAGAATCTTGCTGCAGTATCTCGTGTCCCAGACGTGGACCAGAACGTCCACTTGTGAAGGGTTGACTGGTCACAATAATGTTAACTGTGCAATTTGTATGTGTTATTTGTTGTGAGTTTGGTTTTCTGGTTTTTGAGTTAGTAACCAATGGGTATTCTGTGAGCCTGAAGTTAATAATTAACATGTAAGCATTTCTGTAACCATGGTGATTCTTTTTTCAAAGCAATTTTTGAGGCCTGGCTTTAGAGCGAATATTTGCGTGTACTACTCATGGAATTTATTTATTTAATCTTTTGTGACCTATTATTAGAAATAAAGGGGATTCAAGGTTGTTCTGGAGAAAGCCACTGTTTTAGTTTCATTTTGGTTTTGAGTGGAGAAATCCTGTGAAGTCCTTGGAATAGAATGGCTGTGTGGAAAAGTACACCCAAGACGGGAAAGATATAAGGTAAACAAGGTTACGTTGGAGTGAGGAGTTAATGTTAGTCTTTAACCAGAAGTGTTGGGATAAAACCCTGAGGAGGTTACTTAAAGCTGAGTACATTTAAGCAGTTTACAATAGCTCCAGGAAGAAGCTATCTGCAGCTCCAATCTAAAAGCTTAAGTCACAAGTGATGTAAAACCAATGTCTTAAATACATAGATGTTGCTATGAATATTCTATGTGCGGAGTTCAGTCTCTATTCAATTTATAAAGGAGCATTTGGGATTAATGGGATTACAATTTTACTGTGTGTTTAAAATCTTTGAATTTGGATTATTCCATTCTATCTTTTCTTTGTCATAGGCCTTTGTTTAATGATAAAGCAAAGTCTGCAGCACTGTGTGCGAATGTTGCAGTGAGAGACCATTTTGTTTAACCAAAACCAATCCAAGATATGACCTATCAAGCCAGATTTCAGTCTGGATTCTTACTTATACAGTAATAGCATCACATGGGATCCTAACACCACAAACACATTGCATTTAGATATTCATGGTTGAGGAGCTGGGACAATCGCATGGTAGGGTCTAAGGAGGATATTGACAACCATAGAAAATAGGAGCAGGAGTAGCCCATTTTGCCCTTCGAGCCAGCCTGCTCTACCATTCAATCCCAGCTGGTCACCATTTCAAACATTGCTGGCCTGATTGAAGGAGTCACCCAGGTCTGCGTGGTATTTATAGAGCAGAAGGATGTGCAGCAACACTACAAAAAAGCTCTCTGTGTCGCAAGGTTAATCTTCTCTCTGGTACCTCATACAGTCCTTTCTGCTACTATGCATGTTTTGTCAATGCAACACAATGTAACACAATTAATGTACTGGTGAACGCTGTCTGTAAAACACAAACTTTCGCATACATGTGTTGGCCATTACGCAATTCCATCCCCAACACTCTAAGTGTCGCGATGCGCAAAGGAATACAATGTTTACACCAAAAGAGTCTCCGCGTCAACATCACATTGTTGTGAAGTGCTTTGTTGTGAAGTGCTTTTTGAGAAGTACTCTGTAATTTTCATTCTTTTTTGCACATTTTGCTGTGTTACACATAAATATGGGAAGAAAAAGTAACAAGAATGTTTACAAGAAGGTAAAATTACAGGTGGTGAATGTAAAAAAAAACACACACTTGAAGAGAAGCTAGATGTTATAAAGCATTTTGAACATAGTGAAAGAATATGTGATATTGTTTGTGCAATAGGAATAAAGGAGTTTACGTTACGCGTCATTAGAGACAATGCAAATAAAATTAAAGCAAGCTGTATTGCTGGAACAAGCCTGAGTGATAGCAAAACAGCCAAAGGAATTTGAGGAGATGGAGTGGCTTCTGAGTGTGTGGTTAGAAGATCAAACAAAAAAGCGATCTGGGACCAGGTTTCTCACCATAAAAGAGAAAGCCTCATCAATTTATGAAGACCTAAAGAAAAAAAAGCTGAAAATCCTGCAGATGTGTACCAATGGTGGCACAGTGGCTCAGTGGTTATCACTGCAGCCTCACAACGCCAGGGACCTAGGTTTGATTCCAGCTTCGGGTGACTGTGTGGAGTTTGCACATTCTCCCCATGTCTGCGTGAGTTTCCTCTAGGTGCTCTAGTTTCCTCCCACAGTCCAAAGACTGTGCAAGTTAGGTGACTGGCTATGCCAAATTGCCCATAGTGTCTAGGGTAGTGGGTGGGTCTGGGTGGGATGTTGTTTGGAGTCGATGGGCTGAGTGGCCTGCTTCCACACTGTAGGGATTCTATGATATGTGCCTGTCTTTAGTGCCAGTAGTGGCTGGTTTGCAGATTTTAAGGACCACTATGCATTTCATAACGTAAAGTAATGTGGCAAAGCTGCCAAGGCAGATGAGGAACATGCAATGGCATTTCCTCCCATAGTGAAAAAATTGATTGAAGAGGAAGGCTACAACTTAGATCTAATTTTCAATTTGGATGAGACAGGTTTATATTGGAAGCAAATGCCATCAAGAACCTACATTTCTATGCATGAAGCACATGCTCCAGGGTTTAAGGTGGCAAAGGATCATATGACTGTGTTGCTGGGTGCCAGTGCCAGTGGAGACTTAAAGCTTCATCCTGTGGTGGTGTACAAAATGTGCCAACATGCCTTGAAAGGCTACCTTAAGTCTACTCTAGGCGTCTACTTTAGGTCAAGCAAAAGAGGTTGGATGACGGGGCAAATTTTTTCTGATCTTATTGTTGATGTTTTGGAAGATGTTTTTAGAAATTATTGCAAGAAAAAAAATTGGATTTCAAGATTCTCCTCGTTCTAGATAATGCACTAAGCCATTCTCTCACCAGTGCTTTGTGAAAACATCAAAGTGCTATTGCTACCTCCAAACACAACCTTTTTCCTTCAACCCATGGACCAGGGTGTAATAGCTGCTTTGAAGGCTTATTATTTAAGGTGCACATTTAACAGGCTGATTGCAGCTACTGAGGGGGATAAGGATAGCATTCTTCAATTTTGGAAAAGCTTTAACTTCAAGAATGCTATTGATATTACTGATGTCAGTAAGTACTGCTTGCATGAAGTTTGGGAGAAGCTTCTCCCAAATTTTATTCATGATTTTAAAGGCGTTGAACCATCGGAGGAGCTCCCAAGAACCAAAGAACGTTGTGTTGCTCTTGCAAAGCAAGTTGGTTTTAAAGAAGTGGGGAGTGAGGATGTTGAAGAGCAGCTTGAGTCTCAACGTGAAGAACCCTCTACAGCTGATCTACAGCAACTTGTCGCTGAGGGGCAAATGGAAGCTGGAGATGAAGAAGATGTCCATGATGCAGCACCACGAGAGCTTCCCACTTCTCTTTTGTTTTCTATCCTGAGGCAAGTTGAGAAGCAGTCGCAGCTCTTAGAAGGCAATGGTTATAATGCAGAATGTGGCAGGGTAGCAGTTCGTGGAATATGGTCTTGTTTGGCACCCTATGAACATCTTCTTTATGAAAGAAGAAAAATAGCAAAGCAGCAAAAACTGTATGTCTTTTTTAAGCCAACCCCCGTGAAACAGTCAGAAGACAATGAACCACGGCCATCCACTTCTGGATTAACTACTTTTTGTCCTAACCCTGCAACTACAACTGCACCTGAAAGTGATGATGATGATGATGATGAACCTCAGCCCCTGCATTAACAACTCAGCAACCTCAAAATCACCCTCTTCCCCCATCAAGTTATCTTCAAATTTTTTCCAGGTAAAGTGTTAAATTTGTGGTATTATTTCATTATTAGATATGAATTTAACATTTATTTAAACAGTGCAATCCTTTGTGGTAGGCTAACTACTATGTTTGTTTTGATTTTGAGTAATATTTTTGGTGGTCTGCCCCAACCTTATTTTTCTATAAGCCCTGTTATTTTCATTGCACAGTTTTCTATAGCGCGAGGTTACACAAGAGCGCAATTATCACGTTATAGCAGAAAGGATCATACTTAACTCTGT